ACTAAAAGAGGGGTGTTGTGTGCCCTGGCCTTTGAATATCATGCTGTGAGACTCAGCTGGGTCCCCAAAATGTACATGGTGAAGTTCTAATTCCAGGTACCTCAGAAAGTGACTGAATCTGGATGGAAGCTTTGAAGAGGTGATTAAATTAAAACGTGGGCCTTTATCTGACATGACTGGTGTCCTGATAAGGGGAAATTTGACACAGACGCCCAGAGGGAAGACCCTGTGAAGACGGAGAAGACGGCTGTCTGTAGCCAAGGGGGGGGCCTCTGGAGAACCCCAACCTGACGACGCCAAGATTCCCGAGCCCTGGCATTCTGTAGGCTTGGGAGGCCAGGGTTGAGAAAAAGGAGTTATATTTTATTGGTTGAAAAGTGGGTTTGGGGCAAAGAAAAGTGGACGTGGCTGAGGTTCATTGATTGGTCACAGGGCGCCCCGTGTATGAAGTCCTCAGTGCTTCTTCCCTGTCGTCCAGCGTTCCTAGGGGTCACCTGTAATGGGTGTACCCTGAGCTGGCCAGCCCCAGAAGCTTTTCCATTGGGTTTTCATTTTTTTTCTAGCTGGAGTCCTGGTTCAAACAGGAAATGAGCTCAGCAGTGGTGCAGGCCGGGCCAGTGGGCAAAGCTGGGCCTGGAGCCAGTTTGCAGGTCCTCCAGGGACTCTCCATCCACCCCTGCCAGTTTTCTGGCTCCCTGATGCCTCTCTCTCTGGCCACAGGCCCAGACTTTGCCTGCAAGGCGCACCTGGGACCCCAACTAAGTTTGCACAGGGGAAGGTGAAGGCTCGGCCTCCCTTTTTCTCTGGGCCCTTGGGTCCCCTCAAGGCATCACGTTCACAGGCGTCATGTTCACCTTGAAGCCACTGCTCCTGGCTTTTCTCAGGCTCCCAGTGGAATTCACTTAATACTAACTGGATCCAGACATGGAAAAAGAGGCCTAGAGGTGGACGCCGCTAACAGGCCGTGCGTGGCCACGAAGAAGGCTCTGCCTGGACGCCTGGGCCCCCGGGTGGTGGTGACAGCCGGCCACCCCGTGTCACAGCTCAGAGCCTCGAGCCTACAGTGTCAGACGAGCACCTGCATCCCCACAGCACCCACGGGGCATTTCATCCTCATTGCACAGATCAGGAGACAGGCCCAGGGAAGGCTAGTCCTTGCCCACATCTCACAGCCGGGAAAGAATAGAGCCGGCAGTCTCAGGCCTGACTCTTCAGGCCACAGAATCAGCCCAACCCACCCTGCTCTGTCCTGCTGAAATGTCTCCTCCTGGCGTGAGATCAGATGTCGCCTTCCGACCCCTGTTAATGTGGGGTTATTGTTACAACTGTGTGTGTCTCTCTTCCTTGTAACTGTTGAGCTCTTCCGGATCAGAGGTCAGGGGTAACCTGACCTAGTGTCTGTCAGCTGCTCCTGTTGCCTATGGGCCTTCAGCGTTTGTTGAGTGAATAACGAAGGGAGGGAAAGACTCTCCATCTATCCAACCTTTATGTCTGGATCACGGAGACCCTGCAAGAATTAAGTGACAAGGTCAATTATCTTGACAGTGTTTGTAGTCTGGCTGGCAGCGTCTCTGGAATTTTCTGGTGAACTAGGTCACGCAGAGCTCCTGGGCCACAGATGGCAAGCTCTGAAGAAACGAAACAGAAGGCACAGAATTGTACAAATTTGCAAATTGCTGCTATTTTTCAGCTTGGTTGCATGAAGAGTTGCTATTTAGCAAGTAAAAATACAGGATGCTCAGTTAAATGTGAATGTTAGATCATTTTTTTAGTATGATAAAAGCACAATATTTAAGTATGCCCAATGCAAATATTTGGGATAAACATACTAAAAACATTTTTATTGTCTATCTGAAATTTAGGTTTCACTGGGGTCCTGTGTTTTCGGGGGTCTATATAAGGGCTTCTCCCTGACCACCTTGCCATCTGGCTTTCCCCATAGGGCTGTCTAGAACTGATTCTGGCCGCCTCAGTTTTTGGCAAGGACTTGTGAGCCCTGGCCTGGACCGCGGCCATCACTCTCTGTGCTGTTGCCAGTGACTGTGGCTCAGAACCCGGGTGTCTGGGCCCCAGCCCCCTCCAGAGCCACAGGCCCGCTGTTGGGTGGGGCAGTGCCAGTGAGGTACCCCTGCACAAACTTACCTTTAAAATCCATTGCCCAGGAGCCCCAATTCTTCATGTGGCTGGGCCCAGATGCTGCACGCCAGGCCAGGCCACGTTGGCCACATGGGGTGCGGGCTTGGTGGGGACAGGTCGTGGCCAACAAGCCCTACTTCCCAGACCCCCAGTCCAAAGACACCCCTTTTCCTCCCCTCCCCTCCTCTGCAGGGTGGTTATTATTCAGGGGAAACCTGAGCCTCAGCCAGGTCAAGAAATGGGCCTCCCTCATCCAGGAGGGCAGTGTTGGCCTAGGGGCCAAGCCCCAGCCTCCCCTCAGGCCCTGGATTCATCCATTCAGGAGTCTGTGCCGACGCCAGCTGCTGTGCTTGCCGGTCCCCATCAGGAAGATGGGCCTTTCCAGATAACACTGACCTTGAACTTTGACCATCATCTACTCTGCCCTGGGGTCCCCTTTTCAACAAACCAAGTGTTTTTCTGACCTTGATGGGAATATCTGTGATTGGGGAAATGAGCCCAGATGCACCCCACTCCATGTCCTGATTGTGTCTAACTCAGCAAGAGGAAATGTCTCCTTGTTCTGTGTCTTGGGGTCACACTTTCCTGCTTGGTGGCCTGACTAGTGTTTAATACTAGAGGTTGTACCCCAAGATTACTCCAAGCACACACCTTACCCCAGGTACCATTCTCAGGGCCTGTGGTCACACCTGCTCACGGGTGTGAGAAGACCCTGATGCCACCCAGAGGGCTTCTCCAGAAGTGACTTAACAGACCAGAGCCATTGGCTTTCTTGGTGGCGCAGGGGTTAAAGACAGCGCTATCAAGCTGTGGCCAGCAATTGTAGCATGAGTTCGATCCCCGGCCAGGGAGCTGACCCACATGGCACAGCATGTGGGTCAGTTGCCTCTCCTGTCTTGCCCCTGCTCCCCTCAGCAGTGGATCTCAGTATATCTGCCTGTTGTGCCCCCCCACTCTCTCTGGTGAATCCTTACCTCCCCACACCTCTGGTCTACACCCCAGTTCTTGCGTGCATAAGTAAATAAATCTTAAAAAAAAAATAGACCAGAGCTGGCTGGAGGGTCTTTGCAGGGACATTCTAGATGCCTCCGTTACCCCTGCTCCAAGGTGACAGGCGCCATCACTCCTCATTCTGTTATGCCTACTCAGCTCTGCCCGGCTGCCCAGTGACGAGACTGAGGCTGGCCTCTTGTTTTCTAGTCTTGGGGTTTTGCCTTTCCAGCTTACTTTCGTGTCTAGACCAGCACTTTGAATTCAGACTCTGTTTTACAAGGAACGCTGTGTGCGGGTGAACGCCAAGCTCCCCACCTGGTCTCCAAAGGCCGCGCTCCTCTGCTCAAGTGGTGCTCGGATTCTACCTGCTGACACTGTCGTGGGTATCCTCTAAAGGGGGCCATGAGATTCGGGGTCCAAGTGTGGGGCTGCCTGAAGGTGGCCACCAGGCGCCAGGCCTTCTCTCTGTTCATCTCTGACGACTCCTGGTCCCAGCACACCCTTTCTCCTCTCCCCCCGCCCCTTCCTGTCCCCTCCTTCCTTGCTCTCCTGGCTCTCGCCTCCAGCTGGAGTGTGACCCCCTGAGATCTGGCCCTCAACTGCTCAGCCCTGTGCCCACAGTCTAGAACTGGCACCTAATTAGTACAAGCAGCTGAGCAAGGCGGCCTTGCTCTGCTCCCTGGCCCCGTGCAGCCTGTATCTCCCAGGCGGGATCCAGAAGCAGTGGCCCTTTCATTTCCAGACCCCGGTGCAGTGTCTGACCCCAAGGTCGGGGAGGTGTATACAGGTGGTGAGCAGCCCTGTACTTTACAGACACACCTGGCGCTCAACCCTGATGCCACCACGGCCTCAGGCCACGACCTTGACCTCTGCGAGCTGCACGCAAAGTGGGATGGAGCAGAACCTCCAGCCATGTGACTCAGTGACCAGATGAGAGTCTGTTAACAGCTCTAGCACATTCCCTGGCCATAGCTGGGCCTCTAGCTAGCAGCAACATCCAATAACCGTGTCCTGGATGAAGACTGAAGTCTCTCTCGTTCATTCGAGAGTCATTCAGAAAACATTTCTCAGGGACCCAGTCAAGGCCAGGGCCAGCACAGGACTGGGACACACTGCCAGTCAGTCCCGAGAGGTCCCGGAAGGGCGTGGAGGGGAAATCAGAGTCACTCTATGGGGAGTTTGTGCTCATCCGATGCTCTGAAATGCTCCTTCTGGTGACTTGAAAGAAGGTTCCCTAGCTGGGGCCCCGTGCCAGCAAAGGAAAAGGAGCAGGTGTGCACACCCAGCTGTCCGCACAGCTGTGCCAAGACCTCACAGGAAGATGCTTTAGGGAAGATAAAGGCTCCTGGATCTCCAGGCCCTGGAGAGTGGCGCAGTCATCGCCTGCATTAGAGCAGGGCTGTGGCGCTGTGAAGGCGGCATTCTGATGGGCCTTTATTCAGGAATCTAAGCCCATGCCCCACACTCAGATTGTAAGGAAAAACACTCACATGGGACAGTGAATCCCCCACAGTAACAAAGTATTCATTCTCAATTTTCTCTTTATTCTCTTTTATGCTAATGTTCGCCCCTGAGCATGTCTTGCTCTTAAAGCTGGAAGAGGGACGGGCTCTGACAGCGCGCTGTGACGGGGCTGGCCCAGAGGACAGGGTCTGTAAGTCCCAGCCAGCGGCAGGGGTGTGGGATGAGCTGCCACCTGCAACGTGGCCCCGAGCATCTGCCTCGAGGCTGGGGCAACGCATGTCGCTCACTGTCCGTGGTGACAAGCAGGAGAGCCCTGCTGGCCGCTGGGGACCTCAGGGATTTGTTGGGCCTGACGATGTCCCCCGAGGCCATGAGCCCTGGTTAACTCTCTCTCTCCTTCTCCGCAGCTGCCCATGATGGGGGGAGCCTTCATGGACTCGCCCAACGAGGACTTCAGCACCGAGTACTCCCTCTTTAACTCCTCCACCAACGTCCACGCGGCGGCCAACGGCCAGGGCCCGGGGGAGGAGCCCACGAGGTCCTCCAATGATGCCGTCCTGCTCTGGATCGCCATCATAGCGACGCTGGGGAACATAGTGGTGGTGGGGGTGGTGTACGCCTTCACCTTCTGAGGGCGGCGGCCGGAGCAGGTGGACAGCTGCCCTGTGCCCGGCTCACGGGCCGCGCTCTGCAGTCGGAGCCTCGGGGAGCTCCCGCCTCGCTCTTTCTGGAACGTGAGCCCTGACCAAGCCCTCCGGCCCAGAGGCGGCGACCATGAGTCCAGGAGATCCACCTGCACCCCTGATTTCAAATATCCCGCGCTGTCGGCGAGCTGTTTTGGAAAACACGAGGGCGTGGACTTCCAGCCCCAGCGGCATGATGGCACAGGCCTCAGAGGCACGGGCTGGGCAAGTCTGGAAGCTGCCTTCCAAGAACGCGAGACCAGAGGGAACAAGCGGGACTTAAGATACAGAGAGGGGCTGAGGGTGGTTTGCGGGCAGTAGAGGATCACTACGCGTCCTCTTTTTATGCAGACTTCATGGGGGGGCGGGGTGCCCAGCGGGACTGTCTCCCCCATCTTGGTTTCCTATTCAGTCCCTTGAAGTATTAGTGGCGGTCACTTGGGGGGACCATAGAATGTTCCTCATTTGACTTGGAAATGGCGCCTTTGTCACCAGACAATGGCGCCTTTGTCCCATCCTGCTCTGGTCTTTGCATGGGCCTTTTGAGGCCCAGATGCATCGGGAAACCCCAGGATGGGGCATTACTGGGGAGGCGGTGGGATCTCCAGGTGGACTGATGGCCTCTGCCGCTGGACGAGCTCTCTCTTTGCAAATAGAGGGAAGCGCCTTGAAAAATCAGTCATGCCAGGCAGTTAACCCCTCAGCCCCCGCACCTGTAGGTGCTCTTTGAGAAATCACAGCTTTTAGAGGTGAACAAGCGTGTGTCCACCCAATCACCTGTGGAGTGGCAGGGAGGGGGTGTGACTTGCCTGAGAGCTCAGGGCAGCTTTGGGGAGCAGTGGCAGCAGAGGGGGATGCTCCTGTCTCTGCTCGGTGCTCTGCATGCCCCAGCCCAGCACTTCTCAGCTGCTTGGGGCAAAGCTGCCCTGGAATTTTGCTGTGTGGGCAGGGAGGTCAGACACCTGCCATTTAAATCTGGCTACTTGCATTTACTTGCAGGTTTGAGAGTCCTTTGTACTCAAGTCAGTCCCCTTAGTTCCTGAAGTTGGTGGCTGGGAGGCCCATGCAAAGACCAGAGCAGGATGGGAGAGGCTCAGTTTTCTTCCACTCTTGGGGGGTCTTGCACAGTGTCTGCCCACCCCCACCCCCACCCGCAAGCAGCCTCCCTGTGTCCCTGTGCAGACAAACAGGGAGCAGCACAGACTTGGGCTCACTGGCTCCCAAGCCACAAGTGTCTCTCCCTGCACTGTAGAAAAAGAAAATAAATGGCAAATCACCCCAACCCCCACCCCCGTGGTTGAGAGACATGCACGCCTGGGTAAGGAACCCCGGGTGTGTTTGGGGACAATGCCAAAGGGTTGCATTTGTCACTGTGTTCCCAGAAGACCATTCCTGATGGCAAGCAAAGGAACATCTTAATTGTCCAGAGGCAGCCACTTGGCCCCGGGTGGTGGGCGCGGAGCTCTGGCAGCTCCTGCAGACAGTGCCAGCTTTTATTGGCCTCATCTGTCACTGCAGCCGCCGTCTGCCCGAGGCCTTCAGCTCATGCAGAGGTCAGAGCGCAGCACACTGGCATGAGTGTTGCAAAGAAGAAGGGCTGTAGGACCTTCTGCCTGGACTCCTCTAGAACCTGCTGTTTGCATGAGTGGAAGCACCCAGAACCAGGCCGGGCAGGAAGCCAGCGCCTGCAGAGGCCTCTCCGCCAGCCCCGGTCTGCCCCGTGCAAGTGTTTTGTCAGACCAGTGTCCTCACGAGAAGACCTGGGAGGGAGGTCCAGAGCCAGGTGGTGTTGGTGCTGTGGGGGCTCACTGCAACCCCGTGCTCTCTGATCTTCACCTGACCCCACACCCCTGGGCCGCCGCAGCCCTGTAAAGAGGCAGGTGGCAGCTCCCTGGCCCAGTGGGACAGGGTGTGTCGGCCGTGGCGTGTCACCCTAGAGAGGACTCCGCCTCCCAGAGCCGTGGGGTGTCTGAGCATTTCTCTGGGTGCACAGGCCTCACCCCCGCAAAGGTTTTTTTTTTCCCTGATATAAAAGTTGGTTAAATTCAGCATCAAGTCCTCTCCCCTTTCAGCAGCAGGGCCTGGAAAGTCTGGGGATTTAGGCTCCATCTCTCTACCTTTGGTTTATCTGGGTCACAGTGGTTTTGCTCAGGTGCCCTCCATCTATCTCCATCCTTTTTCTGTTTTTTTCGCCACCATCACCCAGATTACAGCGGATGGAGACATGCACATTAGGTTCCCAGCCAGAGCATGGCTGCCCCACACCCAGCCTTCGAGGAAGGGCAGAGAGAGGCACCCCCAACACTGGGGCCAGCTGTGTGCCCAGGCCCCAACCTGGACCCAGGGGCTCATGCCTGATCCTCCTGCTCACCTGAGAGCAGCGTGGTGCCGGCACAGACCAGGAGGCAGGAGCTCAGAGAAGGGAAGTCACTTGCCTGAGGCCACAAAGCCTGAGCTGGGATTTGAATGTGGACTTTGTGCTCCAAAGCCAGGCTCTTCCTGGGACACTGCCACCTTCATGACTGGGTGGCCCCTTCCAGGTGCATTTACACTAGCCCCCAGGTCCACAGAGGCCAGGTCCCCATCGTGGTGTGGCCTGGACTGGCTGGACTTCCGCTCTGCCATCCTCAGCATGGTCGTGCTTGTCCTGCTGCCCACGGCCATATCCAGGCTTCAGGGCAGGGGTGGCGGTCCCTGTCACCTGCCCCTTTCTTTAAAATGGAATGCAAATCTCCAAGGCCAGAGAGGTTCTCAGAGACCAGCTGTCTTGGGATGCAGGTGGAGGCCCAGCCTGGGAGTCCAGGGGTGGAGTCAGCACAAGAGAAGGCCCCCAGCAACCAGAACCGCCAAACAGGCACAGATGTCTACGCTGCCCATCAGGCCCCCGCCCAGGATCTGGCCCTCCCTGGAGCCCCATGGGTTTTGCAGGCAGTGGGTGCGGGATATCCTCTCTGGGACCCCAGCCTGGGGCTCCCAAGCTGGCACTTCCTGGGTGTACTGAGCCGGAGCCCGCCGTGACCAGATGGGCCAGTACAACCTCTTCAGTAACTACATTTGCTGGAATATTCTCTGTGCTGGCCCCTTCACCTCCCCTCTGCTGGCATCAGTGTCCACATTCCAGGATCGAGAGCTGCTGTCACTGGACCCGCCACTCAAGCCAGGCGTGTCCCCAGGAATCTGCCTCTTCAGGGCCGATGGTACAGCCTGTTTCTCTCTGTCACTGCTGCCCCTCCCCTTGCCCATGAGATCAAGGTCAAGAAGCCAATGAGACTTCCCCAGAGAGAGGATTCTCTCCTTTCAGGAACCCGCAGGACCCCGGGGAGAAAGAAAGGACAGGCTCATCCTTTTAGCTGCAGAGGTGACAGGTCATTTTTCAGCCGTTCTAAATGGACGGCCTGGATGCCGGCCAGACCACAGTGTGTGTCTCTCCTTCCTGGAGACCAGAGGCCCAGCTGTCTTCCCCGCTGCCTGAGTCCTTCCAGACACACTGTCCTTTTCTTCTGCAGGATGTGACCTCCCTCCATTACCAGTGGTGATGTTATTAATAATAGAATTACATAGAATTAGCCATTAGAACTTGTTACTCTCCCTGCTGTCTGTTGCATGTCTTCCTTGTGCTCTGTGCTCTGTCTGTACCTCTGTCTTTTCACATCCCCTTGGGGGCCAGGAGGCAGGATGCTGAGGTTCATTATTGTCCTGCTTTCCTGTTGGGGGAAACTGAGGGCAAGCTCTGTGCTGGGAGCTGGGGTTCAGCCCAAGTTCTGTTGGCTCTGCAGGCTGGGCAGCCGTCCCCAGAGTGATTCACCCCAGGCGAGGGGTGCTGGGGTGGTGGTGGTCCTGGGGAACAGCTCAAGTGTGAGTCCTGGGCAGGGTTTTATCCAGCTCAGCATCTCAGGGCAGTGAGAGGCCTTAGAGGGCATCGAGTCGGGGCCTCTGGTTTTCAGAGGGCAGCTTGGACCACGTGGCTGGTTTGGGGAGAGCTGATGGCCCCTGGATACCCTCCCTGGGGCCCCCAGCACTCTGTGCATCACCAGGGAGCGCAGCTGTGGCCCTGGGACAGGCCTGGTATTCTCAGCGACTGCACTGGCCTCTTATGTCCTGTGCAATGCTCGCTGACCATCCCAGGGCAAGTCTAGTGAGCTGGGTTGTCATCTCCAGGATGCCCAAGGGGACAGAAGGCAGCATTAGAGCCGGAAGCTCTCCTGCTGGCCATCCTCGGGCCCCTGACCCCATGTCTCAGTGGAGAGGGTGGCAAACTGCCCTATGATCCCAGAGGGGCTGAGTGCACAGTCTCCCAGCAGGAAGCGTGGCCTTTTGGAGAATCCCAGGTGATCTGATAAATGGTGCCCAGATGCTGCCAGAGTCACTTCTGAGATGAGTGTGTGAGCATGCCCTTCCTTTTATTTGGGGGTGAATGGAGGAGCTGGCAAACCACAGTGATTGGAGAAGAGGGAAGATTCCCTCAGGGTGAGGAAGTGAGTGTCAGGAGCATGGAGTGGTCAAGAGGACCTAAGTAGACCACATAAATGTGGGGGTGTAAGTCTGCATGTTTGTTCAGTCACAAGTCACACATTGGTTATCAGGATAGAAAACAGAAGTGGGAACGCCCTCGAGAGGCCATGACCTCCAGCCCCGTGTCTGACAAGGATCATCATCTGCCTCTGGCCCCTGGCAGACCCCCGCGGCCAGGGAGATGTGAGGTCCGCCCTCCTCAGGAATAAATGGTGACAGAGCACGAAGCATGCAGGCAGGGAAACTGTGCTATGGCCGTGGAGGGTCCAGAGCCCTGATCCTTCACTGGGCTATACACACACACACACGCACATGTATGCACACGTGTCCCTGCACACAAACACGCATGCAACCACACATGCACATGCATAAACACATGCATGCACCCATGTGGCTGAGCAGCTACCAGCAGCCCCAGGGCCTGTCTCTCCAGCCATCATGCTCCCCACATCTTAGGGATCCCAAGGATCATCTGTGGACAGCTCCAGGCATTCCCCAAGCACCAGGGGTTCCAGCCAGGGCTCGCGAGCTGCAGGTGGTGCTTCCAGGCTTTTACATTTGAGGAAACTGAGGCTCCACAGGTTTGAGAACATTGCCACGCCAGTCAGCAGGAGGGCGCGTCTTGAGCTTCTCTTCAGGGTTCCTAAGCCCCAGACCAGCTTTATTCCCTCCGGGTCCCTTGGCAGTTTCTGGGGACAATTTGGGGAGGAGGCTGTTCTACTGGCATCTAGTGAGTAGAAGCCAGTGATGCTGCCGCGGGGTGAGGAGGCTGAGGCTGAGAAGCCTTGCACTATCTGGTTCTATGGCTGGCGGTGTCCCCCGAAGCACCCCCTTCCCCATTGGTGAGTCATCAGTGAGCAAAGCCCTCCTGAGAGAATCCCGCCCCACACACAGTTGGAATCCAGCACGTGTGGCAGAAATCCATGCGGCTCCGCTTCCACTTCTAGGGCTTTTGTGGGCTTCTCAGCCTAGGTGGAAAGAACCCTCCAAAGTGGGGGGCTGACCTGGACCCCACCAGTAACTCTGGGACCTGGCCCCTCCCCGATGGTGGGAGAAGCTTAGAAGGGGTGTGTGGGTCTGCTTACCTGCCTCTGGGCAAAGCTGCACCTTCTCCTGGCTCTGCCCCTCCCACGTGCTCACCCCACGTCCCCAGTCACGCGCACGAACACTTTCTTCTTTCTACGTGTTACAGAAACCTGATTCTTGTAACTAACTGCCCTTCAGATTCGATTCTTCCCGCCGAGAGCATCAGAAATGCTTGCGTGTCTTCCGAACGTTTTCATGATCAACTTACAACTGTGAGTAGTTGGCTGAATAAAATGGTGTCTCACTATTCCTGTAGGCCTTCGCTGCTCAAGCCCGTTTTCGCTCTGAGATCACTGACTTTTACTGCAGTGAAAAGATTATTTCCTAATGTGGGGTTTCCATGTGCTCTTTGATCAAAGTCACCTACCCTAAGGGGTGTCAGATTGTGGCTGTGAAATCACCTCCCGTTGCTGTGTGCGTTGCTGTCATCAGTTTCTATTATAATTAAAGAAAACTGTCAGCCCTGAGTGTTTGCCTCACACCAGCGCCTTGTCTGCAGGGGGCGGTCGCATATCCCCACAAGGCTCCATGAGGATGCCCCTCTGTCCCACCCAAAGCAGGACAGACCCTTCCCCGCCCACCCTCTGAGCTCCCCGCCTCACCCCTGTAGCAATCACGTTGCTGCATCCACCATCCACTTAACGGCATTTTAGCCTGCAGGCCTCATCCCTACAACTTCCCATTTGGCCTGGGCAGGCCCAGTTCTCAGGCTCCTGCAGAGGTTGGCCTGACCACGTTTGATCGTTACACCTGCCAGCTGCCAGACCTTCTCTGCAAACTGTACAGTAACATTAACTAACTAGGTGTTGCCTTATGCCCTGTGCAGGGGCTTTGCAAAAGATTAGCTGAAGACAATAAGCTGGGAATGGGGGGCATCATCTTGAGGGGCAGGGGCAGGAGAACCACCAGAGGAGGGCCTCCTGACCAGCTGGTGCCAGACCAGAGTCCAGTTTTAAGAAAACAGGTTCACATACGTTTTTACTCATTGAATATCTACTGTGTTCTCTGTACTATTCTAGACCCTGGGGGTGCATGAGTGAGCAAAACAAGGTATATTTATCACCCTCTGATAGTAAATATAGAAAAGACGCAAATAAGGAAATAGCACATCAAGTGTGACTAATAAACAGGTGCTAGTGTCCATTGCTAACAATATAGTGCCGTATACACAACATCAGCTACGAGGGTAGGTCTTATGTTAAGTCCTCCTGTGGTCTCCTGCGACAAACCAATAACAAAACCTGGGATGAACTTGGGAGGTTTGTCTCCGGCCTTGAAGGTGCTGGTGGCTGTTTATATTAAATATGCACAGCCTTTCACGTATCAATCATATCACAGTAAATTGGTTTAAAGAAAAGACAGAGATTTGGTCTCTGTCCTGGTCCCTGACACAGAGCTCCTAAATTCCTTGGAATTGCCCCTCCTCCATGAATGGAACAGAGACCATCACAGTCTTCACCTGCTCGGCTTCTAGGGCCCTACCTAGTCTGTCACCAGAGCATGGCAGGCCCAAATTCGAGGCCGGGGCCACCCAAAGTTGTCTGTGCCACCGCTGAGTTCCATACCCCCTCACTGCAACCTTGTCCCCACGGTGGGGCTCGGGATGGGCCCACCATCCCTTCCACCCCGAGGAGGGTAAACATGGGCCCGAGGAGGGTAAACATGGATCAGGAAGTGAAGATCCCAGTTCCTGAAGGATGGGGCACAGGGGACCACCTGCTGGTCTAAATGACGTGCAGATGTGGTACCGCAACTGGCTTTGCAGATGCTGCTACAGACCTAAGCTTCAGATACCAGTGTGTGCTCTGAACTTTGTGGCATCACTCGCTGGACCTCATGTAAGTGTCCAATTATATTAGCTGCATGTATCTAAAGACCAAAACCAAATGCAGAGTTCAGAACTCATTTTAACACACTCTTTTGCTAGGGAAGTCACAGGGATTGTAAATTCAATCTCAGTTAAGTCTAAATTTATGACAAAGGACCTTTAACTGAAAATGGCCAAAGCACCAATATTACATATTGGTTGTGCAGAGAATTATAGTTTTAATTCTGGGGTATTAAATGTTACTTAAGAAGGTCGCATTCCCTTTAATTGAAGAGAAAAAAAGATGCTTGTTACAAAGTCACACACACAAGTTTCCCACCTCACTGGGCGTCCCTTGTTCCCTGTACTAAGTCCCCTTTGTTGAGCGGGGGGAGAGGCAGGCAGGAGCATGTTTTGGTGAATATTTCGTGTAAAAATGAAATGCAGCCTGAGGGGTGCAGGGCAGGTCAGTTGTGAGTCCCCGTGGTAGTACCGCTGGGGGTGTCAGGAGCTGGAAGCCAGAGTAGAGGGGGTACTGGTGGCTCTGGGATGGCAGCTGAACCCCCACACTCCTACCTGTAGGATCCGGGTGAGGGGGGCGAGAATTGGGACTGCCTTCAGAGAAGCGTTTGGCAAGGGCCACGACTGCCTGTCCCTTACTCCCGCCTGCGCTCGCTCCTACAGGAAAGGAGTCTGTGCTTGTCTGCACCTGTGTTGAGGCGCCCTCTTAACCTTCTGGAAACCCACTCAAACTCCTGCCTCGCCCAGGGAACGCCCGGGCCTTGAAGTCCTTCCCAAAGGTTGCCACTAGGCGGCACCGTGACTCTCCGGGCCCAGGAAGAGCCTCCTGGAAGAGCAGCGCAGGAGGGGACCAGCAGGGGGCAGTGTGGGTCAGGAGCGGGAACTCAGGGCTGGTGGGGTTCCGACCAGCTCATGCTGCTGACTGTGGGGAGCTGCGTGGGGAGCGCAGGAGCGGAGACTGTCCTGCACCACTGAGGAAATGCACCCAAATCCCCTGCCCTCTCTCCTCAGTAAATACCAAACGGCAAGAAAGCCGGATCCAGAGTGGTGGGCTGCAGGGGACACCTTTCAGGCTCTGCTTGTGGCCCAGATTTGTTCTGATAAAGCTTTCCATCGAGTGTGTGATGCACAGACAGAAAAACACACACCTATGTTCACCGTCACCACAAACCCCTAGAAACCAAGGGTTCCGGCAACCAGCTGAGCAGTCTCAGCTCGTGCAGACACCCACAGAAAGCGCAGCCTTGTAACCGTCATTGTAGTTCGTTGCATTATATGGATGCTCAGCAACTGCTCCCGTCACACCAGTATTTCTTTCTCTGACCTTTAGGATTGTGAGTCTTCTATCTGGGGCTCTGATCCACTCTGTATTTTTTTTTTGCAAGGAGTTACAGAGACTGATCCAGCTTCACTCTTACACGTAGCCATCCAGCTTTCCCTGGGCCCCACACTTAAAGGGTCCTTCTGTGTTATCCTCAAATGCCCTTTCCTGCAGGACAAGGGGAAAGGACCAAGAGGGCCTGTGAATCTGGATCCCCCTTCTAAACACCCTTAAGTACTCAGACCCCAGAATCCTGTGTCCTGCTCTAGGCCTGGGTGGCCTGTACTTTGAAAGCTGACTACCCTGGGCAGTGCCAAGGGGCAGCTTTTTCTGAGACAGGGTGGGGACATTCGATGGAGCTGAGGTGTGCAGACTGGAGGATTGGCGGGGGTCAACAATGGAGGCAGCCCCCAGGCCAGCCACTCTCCCTGAGCACCTTGAACCAGCACAGAACCCCACAGGGCATCAGGGCTCACTAGAGAAAAAGAAGCAAGAGCATACGGGTGTTTATGGAGAAACTGATTATAAGGAATTGGCTCATGTTCTTTCGGGGCCCAGCAGGCCTGCGACCTGCCAGATAGGCTCAGGCTGGAAGGTCAGGGAACACTGGATACTCAGGTAGCAGCTGGAAACAGGCAGGCTTTCTAGCCTGCAGTCTTGAGAGTCCTTGTTCTGTCAGAAAGCCAACCTCCCTCAGTTTTTCTCTCATGCCTTCAATGGTTTGGACAAGGCCCACCGTGAAGTGGTGCACCATCTGCTTTATTCAAAGGCTACCAGTTTAAATGGTGATCCCACCCACAGCAGCGTCAAGACTAGGTGTTGACCAAACAACTGGGAGGCCACAGCTGAACTTAGTGGACACAGAAAGTTAACCATAACAGAGTCCGTGTCCAAATCAGCCTTCCAGGTTGTTGCAACATAAGAGGAGGCATCCTCACCCCACAATCCCCAGCCCAGCTTTTACACCTGGGCCACATGTGCCTGGGTGCCATCTGTGCAACTGCACCCCTGCTGGCTGTTAAGGGTAGTGCACCTCTACCTGCAACCCCAGTTTGGTTTTTTGCTTGTTTCCCATCATCTAAAATTAGAGTTCTAAACCTCACCAGACTCAAATCACCCACTCCATCTTTTATATCATCCTGTCCCTTGATCCCTCCCTCCCCAGCCTCAGATCCCTCACTGTGTTTATTAATTTTGCTAGTTTTTGTAAGTATTTTACTTTATCGAGTCACCCTATGTAAATGTCCAGCATCTGTCCTCATCCTTCTGACTTGCTCTGCTGCACATCATCCCTCAAACCCCCTGCATTTTGTGGGAAGTGGCTGCATTTCCTCCTTGTGCTGGATGGTGCCCTTCTATGGGCTGACCACAGCTTTTTGACCCCTCCAACTTGGGGATTTAGGCGTGTCCATGCCCTCAGAATACAAATGGCGCTGCCATGAACACTGCAGAGCATATATTTTTGTGTGGATCAAGTCTGGCTTTTAAAAGCGTCGGTTTGGAAATAGTTGAGGGAGCGGAGAATTCGCAGCTTGATCCAGCTCCGTGAACATGTCAGATCTTCCAAAGTCCCACCCACCTCCCAGGTGCTGGGAAGTGGCTTGTTCACAGTCCCATCTGCAGGAGCAGGCTGCAGGGGTGTCCCCTGGATTTAATGGGTGGCTGTAGGCTGCTGGCCTTGCACGTGTCCCTCTCACAGACGGAAGCCAGACCACCCTCTGGAGGGCTCAACAGAGAGGCCTGGTCCCCCCTCAGCTGGGTTTGCTCCCCATTGGGAGAGCCAGGCCAGGGCCTACTCCTCCCTAAAGTGTCTTTAGTTAGAGTCTGAGGGGGATGGAAAAGGGAGGAAAATATCTGAGGATGCAGATCTGCTGCAGGAGGCCTTGATGCCCCAGCCAGATAAGACACTGGCAAGCAGTGAAGCTCAAAGGGCCTCACACTGCGGGGCCGAAGCTAAAGAGCCTCACACCGTGGGGCTGAAGATTCCTTGTGCTTCACACCGTGGGGCTGAAGATTTAACATCCCTTTATTTTTTGTTCTTGGTCATAAAAGGAGAAAAATTTATCAGAAAAGTACATTAGGCAATAAATTATATGTATCAGTAGACTGCAAGCAATTGGCACAGAAAATTACCTGTTTAGAAATTAACTACTACATAATTTGGCCCACTTGACAATGGGAGATAATTTACTGTATATAACTGACAAGCAAACCAGCACAACTATTATAGTAAGTCCTTCTTTTGCCTTTTTAGAAGTTTCCTTTTATTTAGAAGTTTCTTAGGAAAGTTTTTAAATGAAGTTAACTGTGTTA